ACATGAATTCCGAACACGACAAAAGCGAAAATACTCAACTAGTGTATAAATCACTAATCAAAAAATTGCGGAATCGGAATTTTACATATAACGAGCAACAATCTATTGTTATAGTCTCTAATGTTAACGCTCTAACACTAAACTCTATCTTTACGCACTTAGTTTTTTTTTACAAAATTCGATTTCCTTTTTTGGTTTGTGGTACTCGCGCAAATAAGTAAACTGCCGTTCCTGGTACTCATAAAGGGATGATGTAACATAAAATCATCATAAATTTGTGAAAAATTCTGACAATAATGAATTATTGAAGCGAAATGGGGCGTTATTATAAATCAATAAAAAAATCTAGCATTATAAAATATAACAAATATTGCCAGAAATCTAAAAGCGGGGGCCGTTATGTGGATAAAAAATAGTACGGTATGATGTTGCAGATGAACAACGGGATTTCGAACGGGATATGAAAGACGCTAATTTGGGTGACGCCAATAAAGCGTTCAAAGTTGGTTGGCGTTATCAGGAATTGGAGTTAATAAAAAGAAAAAAAAAGCCTTCGAATGGTATCAAAAATCTTCAGACCTTAACGATGCTGAGGGTGCGAATAATGTTGGGTGGTGTTATCATTTTGGATTCGGAATAGAAAAAAATGAGAGTAAGGCCTTCGAATATTATCTGAAATCCGCCGAATTAGGACATACCGGTGGAGCATGTAATGTTGGCTGGTGTTATCAACATGGAATAGGAGTTAAAAAAGATGAAAAAAAAGCTTTCGAATATTTTCAGAAATCTGCAGATCTTGGCGATGCAATTGGAAAATTAAATCTCGGATATTGTTACCGCAACGGGATCGGAATAGAAAGAAATTTACAGCAGGCCAATCATTGGCTTCAGAGGTAAATATTCTATGCTAAAATTATCTTTATTTTAAATCAATATTTTATTAATGAAGTAAAATATATGATAGGGAACGAAGCGAACTTTTCGGTACATAAATTTAGTTAATATTCATTTTTTTCAAACACTAACTTCTAATTGGAAATTTATTAGAAATTATTGAATCATATTATCATTATAATTTTGGCATCTCTTCTAACATCTATGATGATTTAAAGAAATATTAAATTATAAAAAATATCAAATATTAATTATACCATATGATGCATTCAAAAATATCTTAGAGGTTGGTCGAGGTGGATTTGCAACAGTCTTTAAAGCTGAATGGGAGCTACCCATACCAGATGGCGTATTTTTATTCCCTGTTGCACTTAAATTAATAAGAGGATCAAATATCTTATCCCAAGAATTTTTGAAAGAGGTAATTATTATAATGTTAATAATTTTGATCTTTATATTTTAACTTATTTAAATAACTTACTTAAATTTGATATTAGTTCAAGGCATATTGTGAAATCGGATATGAATGCGCGTCATTTTTAAAATGCTATGGAATATCAAGAGATAAAGTTACTAATGATTACATTCTTGTCCTAGATTATGCAACTTTGGGCTCTTTGAGTCAAAACCTTCGCTCTGTAGCACATATAGAATGGAAAAATAAGTTGAGTTTGTTGCATTGTATAGCTTCTGATATTCAGATAATTCATTCTCAGGCTTTTATACATGGAGATTTACATAGCGATAATATTCTGCAGGATAATTTAAATAGTGCATATATTGCAGATTTAGGGCTTTCCATGTCAGATGAAATAAAACAAAATAATGAAATTCATGGAATAATGCCCTATATAGCTCCAGAAATCTTGATAGGTCAGCCATTTACACAAGCTGCAGCTATTTATAGTTTTGGGATCATTATGACGGAAATATCATCGGGGCAAACGGCTTTTCATAGTTACAAATTTGATGTCGATCTCGCAGTAAAGATTTGCAATGGATTACGACCAGAGTTTAGCCCATGGACTCCTGATCTTTATATTGAATTCGCCAAACAGTGTATGCCTACTGCTTCGGACGTTTTAAATAAGCTTAATGAATGGAATGATAGCATGAAAGATTTAGATGAAAATGAAATTAAAAGGCAATTCTTAGATGCTGATAATGCAGCTGCTACGCTGTCAATTACAAAAATTGGTAACTGGATTTCAACTTCTGTGTCGCAATTGATCGAAATGATCGGATCGGATAATGTATATGTCAGTAAAATTATTAATACACAGAAAATATCAAATGCGATTAAAGGTATTTTATTTATTTATTTTATAGTAATTACAACAAGTAATTATAACATTACATTACATTAATACAATATATTATCCATTAAATTCTAAACAAATAAAACTAGAAATTCCTAGCGATGAGTATACTGATAGTGAATTGGTTAATTTGAGTATTGATAAATGACTCTTTAAACGAGTGCTTGTGCAGTTAAAATCTGATTCGGTCGAAAAATAAATGTGGCAGCTTAAGATGGGATTTGCTTAAGCTGGGATTTTTATGGCATAGGTGAAGTTTGTTGTGATTGGCTAATAAATTTTAAAAATGGCCATCAAATTTATGAATTATGATTACTGGATTATGAGTTATTATATTTTGTACTACTAAAATTTTAGTTTCGATTGTAAGCAAAAATTTTTATTATACTTTATGAAAAAGACATTTGCACCAAATTTAATATTAAGAATAAATAAATATTTAAAACAAAAGTAAAGCTGCATCAAGATGATTGCTTATATTATTATCTATTACAATTTGATCAATATCATCATTATCATTATTTTTATGTTTGTATTTATTTTCATTATTATCTTCAACTTCATTATTATCAGGTACAATTATTTCATTCTTATTAATTTCAATCTTCAATCAATCCAAATAAGATTTTCATAAAATTTAAAGCAATATGGACATGAATTATTTAATAAATTAAGGCATCATATATAATAATATATATCAATACTTTGCCTGGTTCTAACAAGTTTAATTTACATTTTGTTGTATTACAAAATTTGTTTTTGAAGGTTTTTCTAAAACATGATATCTAGTTGGTAACTATTTGATATTAATATCTGTATTAAATGTTGCTAAAAACATTTAGAGTATTTTAAAGAAGCTATATTGTTTTGACTAAAGATAGATATAGTTGGCTATAGTCAGTTATTGGTCAGCCATTATTAGTTATTAATTATAACCAGTTATAGCTAACACAGGTTGAACTAAGACATATCGGGGCAATATTAGCATACTGATAGGACATGATATGTATCCTAAAGCATACTGTCATTATACCGATATTTTCATCCTATAATTAACCGATATGTCTCTGATTTCAAACAGAGATTTGGCTAGTATAGAATACCTATCGGAACTATTATAAATTTAAATAAGGGAAATATCAGATAAATCAATAGGCTTTTATATTTCATGATAGACATACCAATCATTCAATATTTCAAGAAAATCAGTAATCTTTAA